TCTTAGCCTGGTTCACGGAAAAAACAAACGAAGCTGTTCATAATGATTTTTCCCAAACATGGAGTATCTATAAAGCAGTGGAAAATAATTTCAGATACGACAAAAACTTGATGAAAGCGGTGGTATCGTATAGTAGTGCTCATTTGAAGTAATCTCCTTACCTTGGCAGCTCCAAGTTTATTTTATCATTCTCTTTAGATATTTATGTAAGCATTGATAAAAATGGATGAAACAGATGGAACTGATAATTATAGTAAATTTAGTTTATTTTCTCAATTGTAAATTATTTCATCATTTTAAACATTATGAGTTCACGACAAAGCTACGACATCTTACGGTACCGAAGAGGAAATCTTACTATACCATTGAAACGAAGTATGTTGACTACCTTAATCTCCAACAATCATATTCAGTTGTATTTGTTTCGATCCGTAACAGTTTTGTATCGTCTATGGTCCATACACGCCTTCATAAACGACTAAGTATACTTCAAAATACTTTTTCTCAAAAAACCCAAGATGAAATATTTTAAAACCATCACTGATTTGATTGTTAAGATCCATTCTAACTTCCTGTGATGAAAAAACTGAGGTACATTAATGTTGCAAAAAAAGTGCCTTCAGACATAGCGTGCGGTCCCAGATGACTTCCTTGAGCTATTCCTGACATAGCTGCAAAAATGTCGGACTGGCAGTCACCATGGCCCGAAAAAAAATAACAACAAAAATACATTAAAAAACAATGTAACAATAAGACGAAAATTATTGTCTTAACAATGATTTATATTGTTACGTCTACAATAAATTTACCTTGATTTATGTTGTACAAAACAATAAATTTCATGGTAAATGGAAAATTTACAATAAAAAAGGGGGGTTGTTAAGTATCTTAACAATGAAATTTTCGTGATTTTCCCATATAATTTTTTTTCAATAACATTATATATTATTGTTATTTTACTGTTGGTTGGCGAATTTATTTATTAAAAAAATAACAGTGTACTTTAGAGTGTTTGTGTTGGCTTGACAGATCTACTTTATCGACTTTAAAAATAAATCGAAAAAATAAAACATTGCCCCGGGAAGGGGGTGGTATGTCTGTTACGGGTGGTCCTTTTTTTACTGGTTATGGATCGAGATTCGATCCGGAACTTGTGAGAAATGCAGGCCAACTCCCCTGCGCTCGATATCCCTAGGTCACGTCTCCTTGGTGGTTGAGCGTCGTTGATAAGTTAATGCATTCGACTGGAGAGAATCACCCATGAAATATGCTTCCACCTGAGAGTTCCTTCCTGAGATCTTCAAGTGGTGGAATTTTTTATTATTATTGTATGATTATTGACTGCACGGACAAGGTCTCCATTAAGCTTTAGAGAGGGTCTAGGATAAGATATGAGCGGACGCGGACTGCCTGGTTTTGAGCCAAACGAACTGTCAAAGCCAGAGCCATACGAGCAGCGCCTATCTTAATTACATTGGCAGTGTTGCTGACCCTCTCATAGTCTGCATGCTTCAATCAGATTTATTTTTATTGTTCGTGAAGTAACCCACAATGAAAATACACCAATATTTAATGTAACAACAATTTTTATTGTAATAGAGTTGTTCATTATTGTTCATGATCGAATCATGTTAACAATAAAATAAATTAAAAATACGATAAAAATCATTGTAACAACATTTTATTATGTACATTCATTGTACATCTAGGTAGCAGTTTTGCCGTTTTCGGAAGAGTACAACATTATAACAATCATTTTTATTGTCGACAATAAATATTAATGTTAGAGCATTGTTTCCACTGAAAATTTCACTGTAATTTTTTTTTCGGGGGGCTACCACCAACTGACGATTGGCGATATATGAGCAAAACCATCTCAAGAGATTTCCGCTAATCCCAAGTTTACACAATTTGGCGATCGCGATGGCGTGATTTATCTTATCGAAGGCAGCAGACAAGTCAGTGTAGATGACGTCTGTTTGTGACCTTTCAACCATACTTTGCGTGATGTACGATGTCAGACACAGTAGATTCGTGGTAGTAGATCGACCAGAGGTGAAGCCATGTTGATCTTCACTTAGATACTGCTTGCAATGGGAGAGCAGAGGTTCTATGATGATTAACTCGAATAACTTCGAAATTGCGCACAACGATGTAATTCCACGATAATTATCCACGTTCCGTTTACTACCCTTTTTATACACAGGGAACATATGCGCAAATTTCCAGTTCGATGAAAAAATGCCACACGATATGGACAATCGGAACAGATGTTGTAGCGGTGACAGTAAGTTAGCGATATGCTTCTTCAGAAAGACTGAAGGGACACCATCCGGTCCAGGGTTGATAGAAGCCTTTAGTTTTAGTGCGGTAGTCGTTATCACTTCAGCGTTGACAACAATTCCACCCAGAGCTTGACCGGAAAGTGGAACGTTGCTTGCTGCTAGAGTCACGTATTCGTTCGTTAAGCTCTCGTCAGTGAAGACACTTGCAAACTTGTTGGAGAACAGGCGGCAGACTTCCTGTGGAGTGGAAGCGACTTCGCCGTTCAATATCATGGATGATGGTAGACCGGACCGGATAAAATAAAATACCATATATTTTTAAGGCAATACTGGCAGTGCAATTGCAGTATCCAAAGTCGGTCACGGCATGAAAGAGGTCTGATTTTGATCCAGAGATGATGGATTTTAATTCTGAATACGCAAATCGGTAGGAAATTTTTCTACGTATCTGTTAAAATTAATGATTTATCATTTCAAGACCAACAATTGAAATGGCCTTAACTCCATTTTGTAAACAAACCTTGTAAGGCCATTTTCTGGCTAACCGAAACCTTCATTCGTAAACCTAAACCACAATCGGGTAGAGGAGAATTTCCCCTACCTGTTCATTATGTTGGTTTGCCTTTCCGGACTTCGGTTGGCGTGAAAATGGCCTTACAAGGTTTGTTCACAAAATGGAGTTATGGCAATTTCAATTGTTGGTCTTAATTTTTCAAAATGTCACTATTGACAATTTCACGAATGTGCAACTGTTGCTATGATAATAAAAATGATAACCGTTTGCCTGCGTAAAGCGCAGGACCACCATAAATTGAATAATCAGAAACGCTTTGTTCTTACCGAATTCTCTTAATAGCAGGGTATTAAAATTTGTATCAAAAAGTATAAACGTAGGTACCGTCCAGTAGGCTCAAATTCTGTGTTTTCCCTAATACATATTTCATTTCCGCATCGCTATCATCTCCAAGAACATCGAGGAAATAATTCCACAGCATTGTTCTAAACTGGCTTCCAAGCTTCCAACCCATCGATCCTTTTCAGGACCATAAATGACTGAGGAAAGAGTAAGAGCTTGTATTCAAGACATATCGTTCAGAGGACATCGACAGAGCACCTCACAAACAGAACTCTCAAATTGCTTCCGAATTTCAACCTATCGAACTTTTTCGCTGATAACGAGTTAAGAAATCATTTTAATATATATTATACTTTTCATGTCCACTAAAAATGTTGGTGAAATCGACCACATATTAACGTAAACAGATTGTTTGTGTGTTTGGGACTTCGATATTTCCGCAAAACGGGATTTACGTGATTTTCAGGTATACGCAAACAAAATCAATATGGAGTCACCGAGCATGGTGGAAGAACACCTCAAAGATTCAAAATTTTCCAGCAGCTTGCTGCAAATATTGGACGGTAATTTGATTCTTTTACATTAATTGATTTATGATTATATGTCGCCCTTTTCTAGTTTTAGAATTTCAGACGGTGGCATCAGCATTTTGAGTCTGCAAACCTCGCTGCAAACAGTTGTTAAAATTTTGTCAGAAATAAAAAAAACTCATACACGTTTCTACCTCATAATAATCAATTAGTCAATAATTTACAATTTTATGAGCAGATGTAAGCATTAATTTTAACACGTGGATTTTATATCTGCCCAAAATTGCATAATATTAACTGCTTCTATATATATACGTTCCATTATTATCATTCAAAATTCACGTACAAATGTGAAAAGCATTTTAAACAAAACGGAATATAACGTAAAAGTTACCAGTTGTCCAGTAGTTTTCACTTCGATTTCACGTAAGCAGTATGTGAAAATCAGGTCTTATTTACCTGAATAATCACGTAGATAATCAAAGCTGGATTTTGATCGGCTACGTGTCATTCCGGTAAAAGTTACGTGAAAAATAGGGTGGACGAAAACCACCTGTTTTCACGTAAATCGGACGTGAAGATTTTTCAGAGTGTACGGTCGTGTCTTGGATACAAACTTTTACTTATTGTAACCACTAATCGAAATATGCATATAGGTACCTATAATATTCCCATGTATTATAACTGATCTTTTTACCTATTATCAGGAATTATTCGAAGCTAAGCTTCTCCATCGCTCCGAAAATGAATAAAGCTTGTTAAAATGTTGTTTCTAGTTACATGTTGTTTACGAACGAAAAATAACAGTATTGAACATGCGCTTAAAGCCATCACTTTGCTATAAATGTAGGTACATGTGAGAAGTAAAACACAACTTCTAGTTGAATCGATTTTTTGCTGGGTAGCTGTGCAAATTTTTCTGATAATATGTGTTAGTAAATCAACAGGTTGGCTTATTCTATATACTTACTTGAAAGTCGGTATAACAGATCTGTTATCCCTCCCCTCCTAGCAACGCCAAACAAATAAACGACACTCCAGTGGAGGACAAATTGCAGACATGCGTAGTAGACGAAATGTCGAGCAATTCCCCGACATGAATGTGCAAATCAAATGAAATAAATAATAGGGAGGTAGAGGTATGTAATGGAAAGCCTACCTGAACTAAAAAGGAAGAATCTGAAGCTCATTCCGACCGTGACAGGACTCGAACCTGCAATCTTCGGATTCGAAGTCCGACGCCTTCATCCATTAGGCCACACGGTCTCGGTACAAATTGCACCGAAACACAACAACATAAACTTTACATGAGAAAGTAGTTTTTATTATCTACCTAGAGCACAGCTCTAGCAACTTATTATGCCTAGCTATATCTTCATCCGGAGGATCCACTGTATACAGCGTACTGTAAATAGGGTGTTTTTCCACTAGAATTTTCACCAGCAAGTCATGGGGTGATATTCGATGTTTCAACAAAACGAACTGATAAAGCTCGTAGTCGTAAGTGATGGTCATACACTGCAAATTCAAATCAGCTGCTATCCTACGAAAGCAAGTTACTGTAGAGGTCATTCAGAAACATAATAGAATTAAAAACACCTACTTGCATAGCAAAGCTCTTTCGATTTCGGTGAATTCCACAGAAAATACCAGGTCGTATCCTAGCCTTCGTGCCCTAAAGTTTTGCATCAAATCCTGGTAAAAATTTACATCAATTCGAAAAGCTTCGTTTTGTAAATTAAAACCGTCCGTTAAAAAATCGTTTGGATATTTGGTTCCACTGGTGGACGATGTTGGCGTAAGCTGTGGCAATCCAAATCCTTTCCTACCACGTTTGGCTTGAACTTCGATCGGATCTACTATACCATCTTTGTGTTTTCCAAGCGGCCCACCACCCCAACCAAGTTTTCTCAACATTTGAAAGCCAATGTTATCTTCTTTCAGCTGATCTTTCGACGCTTGGGGCTTAGAACTTCTTCGGAACGGATTTCCATTCAAATCCAAATCTTCAGTTGATTCCAGACGTTCCACGTTACAATTGTCCCAGCAGCGATTAACATTAGTCTGAAATAGGACAAAATGAGGGAAAAATATGCTTAATTGCTGTTAAATGTTGTTATGCAGCTTACTTTAATTTTATAACACTTTTTTCTCAGCAACTTCAAAGCATCTTCTCTACACTTAAGTTTAGCTTTCTTTTTCGCACCGACAGATTTGCTAAGCTGATATCCAGCCACCGTAATGGTGGCTTCCCACTGTCTACGCGTTTGTGTCTGGAAGCGAAATACGAATAATCCGCAATTGAGCAAACCAAATTCCCTTCCGCTTTCGTCCAAGTCATCATCCAGAAGAATAAAATTCTGGAACACATCTTCAATCGAAGTGATGGGTATCAGTGGTTGCAGCATTTGCGCAGCCAGTTGCTTACGCTGTGCTATCTTTTGGCCTACAGAAATCTGCCGCCTCCAATCAATAGCAGCCTCCGATGCTGATATTGTAAACTTTCTTACGTTGTGACTTTTGGAGTCGTGGTATTCTTTTGCTATTGTTCCACCTAGCAAGCTCAATCTTGCTGTAAGTTCCTCACTATATACGGCCCTCAACAGTACCGTGTTAGAAAACGTGTGTGACAACGGAACTAGCTCATCCTCTGGAATAGCACTTTTATGCTGTTCCATAAACTTTCGGCGTAGCTCCCAATGTTCATCGGTTTCGAAGGGGTTTCTATAATCTTCTACGTTCCAGTCATTGTAAACTAAATATCCGAGTCCGGGAGCTTCTTCGAATTTCGCTTGACGATCCTCATATTTTACGTCTGCTGCCAAATTCACCGGATCTGAAATCAGCTTTTCCTGGGAATGTGATGAAATAACTTGCACATTACACTCCGCTTCGATGGGAATCGGATCGTGAATCAGCAAAATGTCACTTTCTACGCCCGGAGAATGCTCCCGCTTGTCCATGATAAAACTGTTAAGAAAATGAATTCGGAAAATTCCTGATCCTGGAAAAGCAAACTGTAAACAAAGTGGGATACAAAATTCTGGGGAAACATCTCTTCTTCTTTTTCTTATTTCCTTTATTAAACGTCGGTCTCTGGCAGGGTGGCCAGATTATTTTTTTCATTATCGGTAGCTTTTCAAAACTTGTATCGGTAGTTATCGGTATCGGTAGCGAGATCGGTAGGCCGTCTTAAGAAGGCTTCCTCCGAAACTTAGAAGCTTTGTGAATGGGGGAAGGATGAAAACAAATCACCAGCAATTAACCACTTCATTCGAGCAGATAAAATGACGTTTACTACCACTCGAACTTTGAAATGAAACATTATTTTGAGATTTTTTCTTCTAGAACCTCGAGAAAAGTAGCCAACATTTGTCCGTTTCATAAAAAAATAGAAATTAGTTGGTCCAGTTTTGTGAAATCGCTGGTAGAAACTCGGGTAGAAAGTCACACCAAAACTGCTTGACAAAGTGGTCAATTTTGGACTTTTAAACCGACCCATCAGTCCTTCAACCTCACACATTGGATAGTCTAATCTAGTGTATAATGAGTCACGCCAAGAGTGAAAGCCAAGTCTAACTATTGAACTGTCAAACCGACTACCTATCGTGCAAAGTAAACAAACATTACGATGCTATGAAAGTTCCACGAAGAAATGATCATAAACACGCAGTGAGCATTAAATTTTCATGGGATACGTTTGATAATGATCAATAATGAGAATTTATACTATTTTTTCTTAAGATAATTTAACAAAATCACTGTTCTAATAATTTACTACAGCCGCTATTTTTTCTCGCTGGAAGCCCTAATAAAATTGTTATGGTTATTTTCCTTAACGACGTGTTCTGGGTATAATCCAAACCATTTGTGGAATAGTTCAATCATTTGGGTTATCATTCGTTTATGGTATATTTTTATTAGGGAGTTCATTTGAAGTTGATGTTGAAGTCCTCTGTTGCCAAGTGAAAAGAAAGGGAATCTTTCCAAAACCAAAAAAGGAGAAACAGAAAATAGCATCTCCGCTAGCAAACAGACAGAGAAAGTCGATTAAACGTAAACAAACTCATCCGTTTGGATTGAAGTTGCAAAACGCATAGCATTCGATCAAATTGATTGACTATACGGAAAACAAAACATAGGTATTGAACATTTGTCATTACTTAAAATCTGTGATTCTCGGTAAGAAAAGTGAAAAATTGGTAGTTTTGAAGCTTTCGCCTGAGAATCGGTAGGCATCCTGAGAATCCGTAGGACTACCCGACCAACCATTCGTGAAACTTCTTCAAAGTTCTTTATACAGAAATAAAGATTTATGTCAGCAATTCTTTACTTTAAATTTTCTATGATTTCGATGTACACATTTAAAAATCTTTATTGATCGATACTTACATTTAAGATTATTTCTACATCGGTCATATGATAGTAATCTATAAAGGTGCCATACTAAATTTCTTTTAATTTCGATATGTCACATGGACTTTAGTATTCTTTACAAATATTCATCAATAAATATTTAAATACTGATATCATCGTAACTTTGAACATTGACAAAGAACAATAAAGATTGCCATCGATACACATTTATAATCTCCTTGTTGTCGATTTGCAACGCTGGTTAAAGAGAGCTCGAGACACACCAGGTGACAGGTGGCAATGTTTATATTATTTATCGACATATTCGGCATATCATCGGAAGAAGCAATCTGCCGGTAAATGAACGAGAAGACCGATGGCCGCGATGCAGCAAATGTTTACTATTGTCGTTCTTCAAGTTTACGTCTATATATTTAATAACCCGTGAGAGCATGCGTGGTGGGATTCTCGGCATTTTGAACCCAATGAGGAAAATTAATACCTTTTTGAACTCTATTACACCTACATGGCTGACTGGTTGATGGTTATGACAAAACAATATTGAATTCATGTATGAAAAGATTTACAGAAATTTCAATACACCACATACTAGAGTGTGTTTGCCTGTCGTTGATAAGCTCATCAACAGCAGCCGTGGATCCGAGGATTAGCAACGAACAACGAAATCAGTACACCCCAGATGGCATGGGATCGAAACTAGAAATCATGCAGATAAAAAATCGCAAATAAAATCAGCAATTGTGTATCGATATTTTGATTTTACAACAGAAATCGATATTTTGATCTGGCAACACAATCGATATTTTAACATTGGTAACGATTGGTAGCAATATTTTGAGAAAGATCTTTATAAACGATTCACGATTAGACTTTTAGCATCTTTACAATTATTCATGAAATGGTGACGATCGCTATCGATTTTTCTTATGAATGGCTTTGAAGATCGATGTATAGAAAATTAAAGAAAATTAACGAAATGGTTGATCGGGTACCGATAAATCGGTGGGTATGGCCACCCTGGTCTCTGGTTCCGCAAACTATACACGCTATTTCAAAACTACCCAAATTTGGGTATAATCCACCCAGATCGGTTAAAACTGAACCTACCCAAAAATGAGGAAACTGTGTTTTGAGTTACAAGTTGACAAATGAACAACATCAACATGAATCCGATCGACGTTGTTAATTTGTCAACTCAGTGCTAACATTTGAAAACGGCACAAAAGCCATTTGTAAACAAATGGTTTGTGGGCCCTTTACTCACTACTTGAAGTACACCCACGCGACACAACAGCAACATCGGGTAGGGGAAATTTTCTTGTTACTTGTCACTCCCAACATATAGTTTACCCATTTTTGGGTAGGTTCAGATTTGATACATCTGGGTGGATTGTATTCAAATTTGGTTAGTTTTGAAATAGCGTGTAGACTTCTCTGGGATGTTTGTGGAATGCACAAGGTGTTATGTCGTTTTCGCTACACTGCCGTACACCGAAATAATTTAAGGTGTAGATTGGCAAATCAAAGTTGCCACTCGTGGAGAATAGACGAACTATGAAAGTGATGATGGTTTCAAAATTTTCCACGGACAGGTATACGAGTGCAATCTTAAAATGGTTTTATTTTGAAAACTGAGCATTGAATTTAAATCTGGTTGTTGCTACAGTTGTAGAAAAGCTGAAATCTATGCATACACCTAAAAATCTGAAAAGAAATTATTTTTTCTATATTATATATCTATTGAGTAGTCCTTAAGTTTTCTACTAACGTAGCACTAACCAGATTTAAATAAAATGCTCCATTTGCAAAATACAGGCATTTTAAGATTGAACTCGTATACCTAACCGTGTAAAATTTTGAAACCATCATCACTTTCATAGTTCATCTATTCTCCACGAGTGCCAACTTTGATTTGCCAATAGGATGCACCTTTGTTTACAAACAAATGATGTTGCGCTGTCAAAGGCTCGCACTTATTCCTGCTCAACGACGTTTATATAAGGTCTGGGCCAAAGGGGTTATTGGTGTTAGTGAAATGTGCAATTGTTTAGTAGTGTTCGTATTTTATTGCAATGTTTATCTTTTTACACGAAACAGCTGTTGGCACCCTAATAAAAATGTTATGGTTAATTTTCTTAACGACGTGTTCGGGGTACCATCCAAACCATTTGTGGAATAGTTCAATCATTAGGGTTATCGTTCGTTTGTGGTCATTTTTTATTAGGGCAGTGACGTATTTCTATCTGTTCTCAGTATGTTGGCAGTGACGTTTATCTATCTGTTCGCAGATGTTCAGCAATGTTTACAACATTTTTGCTTCTAATACCAGCAAGCTGCCTGTTGGCCCAGACCTTATATAAATGTCATTGATTCCTGCTTACACTGCACACCAAATTTGAGATTTAGATCGAGATTTACACGAAACGAAAATCAATTATTTAATTCATGTGTTTCGCTTATACATTTTTGCCAAAGCATCAGCCTTATACATTCCATAAGACAAACCACATAGGTCCTATTAGAATGCTTAAAAGGTATGTGTGATCGCTTATACATTTCATTTGACACATGATCTTTATTAACTTTTTGCAAGGCGTCTGCTTATTAGTCGACTTATACAATTTATGAATAATCAGCAATGGAAATTTGCCAAAAGGTATAAGGAGATTTCTATCCGTGTAGATTTCAGTAAAACGGATTGCTGGATCATGATCACACAGAGAAAAAAAAAAATACCCTTAATTTAAGTTCTTTTTACTTAATTTTGGGTAATTTTGAGTTTTGCATCCCATTCTCACTTTTTGTTGTTGTCAAAAACAGAACTTTCTCATTACTATCGTTCATAGAGATCTCCAAGCGCAATCTCACGAACACTAAAATCCAACATCCATACGTAAAAACGAAGAAGAAGAAGAAACAAAAAGGTATCGCGATATCACAACTACTTAAAAAGGTAGCGCGCGGTCTCACGCACACTTTTGTGCATCTGGAGAACTCTATTAAGCTACTAAAGGGTGATACGGTCAAAATTTGGTCAATATCAACTTGACGTATTTCTTTCAATTTTGCATTTAAAAAACCTGAACACCCCTCATTTTGAAGGTGTGTGTGTGTAGAATGTTGCTCCTATTTTGATTTTGGAATTCACTCTTCAGTTGTCAAAATGCCGTCCAAGCAAGAAGAGCAGCGTATCAAAATTTTGCTCGCGCATCGCGAAAATCCGAGCTACTCGCACGCAAAGTTGGCAAAATCGCTAAAAGTTGCCAAATCAACCGTTACAAATGTAATTAAAGTGTTTGGGGAACGTTTGTCGACAGCCAGGAAGTCTGGATCGGGGGGAAATCGAAAACCGGAAGCCGCTGAGACGACAAAGAGAGTTGCCGGTAGTTTCAAGCGGCAAAAGGAAGGGGAAAGGTAGCAGATGTTTTCAAGCACATGAAACTGTCAAAGTTCGCAAAGAAATATCTGGTTTGGCAAGCCATCTGTACCTGTGGCTTGAAAAGCAGCATTTTCATAGCTTCCGGGACTGTCAACCAAGAAATTTACGTGAAAGAGTGTTTGAATAAACGTCTGCTGCCTTTCCTGAAGAAACACGGTTGTTCCGTACTGTTTTGGCCGGATTTGGCATCTTGCCATTACGGTAAAAAGGCCATGGAGTGGTACGCCGCCAACAACGTGCAGGTGGTTCCCAAGGACAAGAACCCTCCCAACACGCCAGAGCTCCGCCCAATTGAGAAATACTGGGCTATTGTCAAGCGGAACCTAAAGAAGACCAAAAAAACTGCTAAGGGCGAGCAGCAGTTCAAGGCAAACTGGATTTCTGCGGCGAAGAAGGTGGACAAGGTGGCTGTACAAAATCTGATGGCAGGGGTCAAGCGTAAGGCCCGGCAATTCGGATTTGGAAAAGCGGAAGCCTAACTGAATATTTTTCCTGAATTTTATACTAATTGAACTTGAAAAAGAAATTTAATTTGATTTTTTAAATAAACGATTTCACCGATTTACACGCGTTTTCCCTTGACCAAATTTTGACCGTATCCCCCTTTATAGTGAGTATATGAGATATTCTTAAATTTGAGTAAATTGAGCATAATTTTGGGTAGAAAATACTCACGAGTAAGTAATTATTTTTGTCGTAGTCATATGCAAACTACTATAAGCGGTTTACTGAAAATTAGCTTATTGAACAGAGGGAAATGAGTGAAAAGAACTAAATTTTAGGTAATTTTTCGGTTCCGTGCAGCAAAGCAACTGAGAGACAGCAAACGATATTTTTAACCGAAAAATACAGCTAACACGCACATCAAATTTAAATCGCTGAAAATCAGTAAAATTTTGTTGATTTTAGACTTGATGAAAGATCAGCAAACTTTCCAGCAAAATAATGCTGCTGTATCTTCCAGCAGTTCCAACTTCTGTCAAAATAACATCATTTTACTGAAAATCAGTAATATTTCTTTACTGATCTTTCAGCAATTAAAATTTTTGACATTTGGAAGCATTTTGCTGATTAAACAATTAAATTCAGTAAATCGAATTTGTTTTCAGTATATGAGCTTCCAGCTTCTGTAAATATACGAATAATAAAGATAAAATCACCAGACTCCTTTCCAAGTATCGTTTATTATATATAACCAGTGTCCTTACCTACATAATTTTATCTATTTGTAGTTCTTTTTTTTGCTCTTCCTCCTCCTGCGGTTTGAATGTTGGTGTACGAATGCAAAAATACTAGCGACTGTGATGCTAACAGTTTGACAGCTCTTTTACTGGGTGTTAGTTTATGTTAGCTGATGTCTAGGCTGATGTTTTCAGTTAAAATATCGTTAGCTGTTTTTCAGTAAAGCATAGGATTGCTGGTCATGATCCAGCAATCCGTTTTACTGATATTGAAAACTTAAATTTGGTGTATACTTGCGACTGTGATGCTAACAGTTTGACAGTTCATTACTGGGTGTCCAGCAAACCGTTTATGTTAGCTGTATTTTTCGGTTAAAAATATCGTTTGGTGTCTATTAGTTGCTTTGGGAATTTGAGAAAAGTAAAGATTCGATTCACTCAGTCTATTGGTACTATTCCCAGACTGAAGGAAATTTTCGTCAATTTCCTCATTTTCCGGCAGAATTTTTAGGTTTTCCACAGGAAACCATGAGACAAATTTTTCTCATCGCTGAGTTCCTGCACCTTTGGCGATTAGATTATGAGTGAACTAAACTCAAATTTGGGTTGTTCTCATTCGTCGTGTACCTAATGTTGGTTGTTTATTTTTCGTGTGCTCACTCACTCACTCACAGAACTCACGCCCGTATCAAAAATGTCAAAAATAATTTTGTTTGCATAAATTTCCTTTTTCTCGACGCGTACGTATACGTTTCTTTCCCTGTTCTCAGATTCAGCGCTGCCATTTATACAGATTTATCTGTATTATACAGATTTTTTAATCTCAATACAGACCCGATACAGAATACAGATTTATCACAGATTTTTAAATTACAATACAGATTTCTACAGATTTTTATAAAATGCTTGAGAAAAAAAATCTATATCAAAATAAGTTGTCAAGCAGTTCTCACTAATATCAATATATGTTATAATTTTGATATTCTTCGCATATCTTTTAGCTCTCATTTTTGTTCTGTTAGCCATCAACTCCATCAAAATGAAATCAATTTGAGTTATCAGGAATAATGAAAACAACATAATTCTTGTTTTCATTTTGTTCTCACCCTCTGCTCGGGAACCTATCAAATTTCCATCGACAATTAATCATGTTATGGTGTTTTTGACAGCATTCACAACCAGAGTACCAACCGCTTTCGGATGCATATGGAGCTGGTAGTAAACGATTTGAGATTGTATGGGGATTTACAGTATTAATTGAATATTTCCAATATAAGCATGTATGTTAAATACAAGAAAAGTGCCCGAGCACATTAAAATGGTACAAATACAAGTACTCGTAAACATTTTACTTGCATTGAAAATGTATTTCGTAAGAAATTGCGGATTTTCTGATATTCTCCATACTGCAAAAATGATTTTACCAGCACTGGCACGGCGACATCTCTCGACTTTTCGGTGTAACTACCCCACAAATGATGTAATTAATTGTATTCATCTATATTAAAAATATCAAATAGTAATGAACTCGTGCTCTTTTTTGCATTTAAAACTGCTTATCAGGAAGATAATGAATAGAAACTAAAATCTCCATACATTTTCAAACGGCTTCATATCACTCTTATAAATAAGTACGACCGATATCACAAATGGCGCAATTATATCAACAATCAATACGAAACTAACGATTTTAAATTGGCTCACTACTTAAGTAGCCTATTGGTCCCAAGCAAACGATTAACGTACCCTATTCTAGTTGAAATTCTATTACTACACTATGTTTGTTTTGATTCGCTATGAAAGTTTGACAGATAACATCAGGGGTGTGTGGATTCATGCAGAACATGCAGGGGTGAGTGAAATAGCTTGGGACTGCTTGGGACCGTTGTTCTAAAACTGAGTGAGCCAAAAATAATAATGATTTTCTTCGGGACCCAGTGGTCTTAGAGTTACCTCCATGGCTGAGCCAAAAAGTTGAGCACGTTATTTCGGGACCTTCTAGTCTTAGAGTTACCTCTATGATTATATCCCGTATGGTTAGTACGACAGCCCGAATAGGTGGTTAAGCACTTTTATGGTTATTTTGTATGCACTGTATTTGTAAAACAACAAAACATGATTAATTAAGAAAAAAATCGTCAATACAGAAAATACAGATTTTTTAATAGAGTGGATACAGATTTTTTATAAAACCACCTGGCAGCTCTGCTCAGATTGTTAGTGCTTTTGGCGGGCGCTACTTAATAATTATTACACTCTGTAGTTTATATTCTTTGTAAAGCTGGGATTGGTGTCCGTAAAACGTAATTGAGTGGTAAATACAAGTTTGGATTTCATGAAACATCAAGATGTCTAAAAGGAAACCACACGAAAACTCCTGCCAGCAGGAAGTGAAGAAAAGCAAAGATGATGCGCCACCGGAGCAGGTAGCCAACACGGACTGGGACATCGATTCATACCGATCGCACTATGAACCCGAAGAACATTGGGATCTTCGACGTAGATTCATGGAATGTCATCAAAACTGGATTGCGGAAGATGATTTGGTTTGCCTAGCTCAGGTGTTCGTCAATGTGGAGCTACTGCACTGCAGATATCCACTAGAAACCATGGAAAGGTTAAAAGAACTATCCAAAGGAATCGCTGACGAATATAGAGATTCGAGGAAAAACAAGCTGCAGCGAACATTTGTATCCGCTTCGGATGCTGCGGCCTCGAAAGTACAAAGAAAGGGACCTGGAGAGCAAGTGCAACAGCGCAATGCAGCGCAAGCGACGGCTTCAAGGAAGCACAAGCCCGTCCAACCGATCAGTAACATAGAAGATGTTTATAACAATATTGTACTGATGAACAACGATTACGAGCAAACGCAGATCGAGTTCGATCGTTTGGGTAGAGATAAAATGATAATTATGTTTTCGAAGAACCCCCAGGGCAAGACTATCGGCGAAGTTAAAGTGGGACAGTTTATTCTAGCGAAAACAGAAGCCGATGGCGAGAAGGCTGCCAGGAAAGCCGTAAAGCTTGATTTCCTGCAATTGATGACACAACATTGCTACTCAGTCATTGTAAGTTTCGGATATGATAATGATTGTCAGTTATAAAAGTATGTTATTAATCAGATTCCTTTCTTTGTTTCAGCGAAAAAAACGACCCACTCAGTTGACAAACACCAATGTAGAGCGGAAACAGGTTGAAGGGGCAGTAGACCATCGAGGGCGGAAGGTGGTGCAAGACTATCAGGAGAAGAAGATTGATGAAAGTAATTTGGGTTTTAAGCTGCTACAAAAGCTGGGCTGGAGTGGGGGATCTCTAGGATCGAAAAATCAAGGAATAGTGGACCCCATTAATTGCCAGATAAAAATCGGCCGACAAGGACTGGGTGGTGGTCCTTCTGCCAAGAAGCAAGGCGAAGAAGCCAGCAAAAAAGGAAAAATTAACACTCGAAACGAAACATATGGCATTGATATTAATTTCTACCGGCAGATGATGCGCAATTTCAAAGATAGTGAACTTGAATATGATTTGGTATTCAGTAATGAGTTTACCAAGGAAGAGCGTGCTTTGTTCCATAAGTAAGTTCCCAGAGTAGTGCAATAAGATAAAGGAAACATTAACAGATAACGTATTTTTTCTAGCATGGCACAACAACTACAGTTGAAAACTCGCAGCTATGGTAATGACAACGACGGATCTAGGCAGTTTGTGCTTCTCGGACGGAAGGTGCCACCACACGAGCTGCTGGAGCGTGTTTTGGTCCAACAAGATCCAATATTTTGCGAAATGTACAATGTGGAGCCTCCCAATGGGACCCAGAAAGACGAGTAAGCGTGCGGAACAATTTTACTTAATACAGCGTTTCTATCTTTATGTACCTGTAAAGACAAAGTTTGCTTGAACGTCACATGAAACGCACTATTTTCAACTGATCTAAGGTCCGATTTTTTCACCTCCGCTTAACTTTATGGGTAACCCTGACTTGATGTTTAGCGCAGGTGCAGAAATCTGCCCTAACATGTAACCTTAGAATTAAATGGCATTTCGGATCTACTGCAACCACTGCAGCTGATATGACAACACTAGGCAATATAAATAATTGAATCTACCTACTTGTGCTGACTTTTTATGAGATAGACTAGAACTAAACTTCCATAAACATTTGTAAGTATTTATGTGCAGAATATGTAAAAAAGGAGGGACTTCGGATGTTAATCTAAATGCTTAGAGGTACCAGAAATGTTTTGCACTGCACTGTCCTCTGTGAACAATTGACGGAAAACAGATTATGCGTAGTTTCCAATAGATGTCACTACAAACAACAACAACAGTGCTGATGGGAAATGAATGCAGAAGCTTGACAAAATGGTTAATTAGTGCGTTTCAGAGGCGCGTCCACCTTCAAATATGTGGGTGGGACAAGGTACTATGGCTTCATAGATCTTTTGAATATTTTTGGAATCGTGAACTGGTTCCGGAGATGTATGGCCGGAACATGTTCTGGTTTGTAACTGCCGAAACTTAATGCTGCCTGCAATGGTAAAACCTATCATGTGACACATTAAATGACATGAGAATTCAAAAACCAGTTCAATTGTAGTAATAATCAAAGTACAGGTTCCATTTGGTGTTCCAAGATGCAGTACTCAGGCCAATCACGGCTGACCTGGATATGATCGATGGTGACTACCTATTTTCTGACGACACGGGATTCACAGCATCGCATCGTGACGCTTCTGCTTTCGTGGCAAAATTGCAACGTGCCCAACATTTACTTGGATCATTTCAGTAACAGTGGCGGATCAAGATCATCGCTAGCATTCTTCACAAGGAAACGAAGTTGACGCAATCTCCCTCAGTTTTAAATTATTGCCAACGCACCGGCGATACCCTGATCTGAAGAAGTGTAAGTCTTGACCGGAAACTGAACTTTTCTAAACACTGCTCCATCAGTTTGAAGAAATGCGATGAACTGACGAGATATTTCCCCTTGTTAATCACTGGTATCGCTTTGAAGTGTGTACACGATCGTTCTGCGACACTAACCTTTAGATTCCAAGCGTAGCAGTCTCATCGAAACAAAATACAAAGGAAACAAAACCTGCTAAATAAATTAAATTAATTATTCCCGATATCTCGACTACGGTATCAATCTTGAGCTGGAAGACGAATCAACCCATTCAAGGGGATTTGAACGAGCAGAAACGCGTGGCACGGTATGTACTGTATACTTTGATTAGGACTAAACTACTGTTCTATGCAATCCTTATGGGTCGTGGTACAATCATGCGAATAACGGCAGTACAGGCTACCATTGGACAACAACGAAATAAACTCAAATAAGTTTAACTAAAAGAGATGTAAGACTGGATACTCGGACGCAAACTGGGCAGATATACGAAATGATGGAAAATCAAGCAGTGGCTTCGGATTCAAGGTCAGGGTGTGTGCAGCACAGTTGAACGACGTGGCACAGGAAGCAGCATAGTGATCAATGAAGGCAAGCAGAGATGATGCAAGGAAGATCCTAAAAAGAGAGAAGCTAGTCACAGCAACGAAATTAAACCAATAATTGCCGTTAATGGGAAGTGTTGTAGAGGACATGAAAATAAATAAATGAATTAGTATATTAAAGGAATAAAATAAAATAAACATATAGGTATCAGTTCATTAGAAGTATTCGTTATTTTTACCGCTCTAAAATATGTCAAAACAAAGAGTCATACATTCATAGGCATTGGTTGATTTGAACTGAATGCAAAATAAGGCTTTGCTGAATATTGTCCACACTAGCCCGAACCTGTTTTGGATGTGTAACGAGTGCGCGAAGCTGATGAGATGTGCTCGGTTCAAAACTGCCGTCGTTTGGCAGTGCGATTAATTACATCACCGAGAGACAGGAAATCGTACACACTGAGCTTAGGAAGGAAATGGCTAAGCAAAAACAGCACATCGCTCAGCTATCAAAACGAATCGCATTGACAACTCCGACAAACTCCGATTTCATGCATCAACCGCCATCAAAACGGCGCCGCGATGAAGGCTCGCTCACTAGCAAACCACTTGTTGGTGGTTCTAAAGCAATAACAGGCGACAATGCCTTTACCGATGTCCTTACTGTCCCTGACCCCACCGAGCTGTTTTGGCTGTACCATTCTCGTATTCATCCTAGCGTGAAATCGGAATCAATCGAGAATCTGGTCAAAGGTTGTGTACAGTGCGAAGATCCGATTAAGGTTGTGCCGCTAGTCAAAAAAGGATCCGACATCAGCCGTATGAGCTTCATCTCGTACAAAGTCGGAATTGATCCCAAACTACGCGAAGCTGCTCTTAGATTGGTTAAAAAACATGTGGTTGCCTCGTTTGAACACGCCTACCATCACGATCTCTCCTATTCCGGGACCTTCCGAGTTCTCAACTCCCATTTTCGGACTAGACCCAGTCTGCTGATTCAGAATTGGATTTTGCGATGTGAATTGGAGCACTGTAGACCAGAACGCACTGCCTGTCGCACTATTGGAGACCTCGAACCACTCGATCCAGTCGCGCTAGCTGTTTCCCGCCATCAAAGTCGTTCTATTTCCTGCCATCAGAGTCGTTCTGGCCCTGCGGTCGAGTTCGGTGGTGGGGTCTCCCAAGCATCGTCTTCACGCAAGTATGCACACATTAGTTACAGTCATTTGCCTGAACAGTTTCCGTGTTCCAGTGCAACGCTTCAAGCACCTGCCGGCTGTTTCCAGTTGAGAAGCACTTATGACCGCCTTTTGGAAACTCCTGGTTCCTTCAGCCCAGTCGCGCCTATTCCTGCCAGCACTCAGCCCTGAGGCTGGATATGGATCAGGAGTCTTCCAGCTTGCTTCTACAGGCAAGCACAATCAATATATTGACAATTCACTGCCTGGTGCCGATCAAATTTTCAGCAATTCGGACTATGTTAGTCATTGTGATGATGCCTCTGTAACACCCAATCCTGGGAACCCGGAACGCACCGTAGAAAGCCTCTTGGAAGCCCCCAATCCTTCCACCTCAGTCCTGCCATCAGCAGCCTTCGTTCGCCATAGTCGTGCCGGACCTGCTGTCGGATGTGGAGAGGGAGTCTTCCAACCCACTCACTATGGCGAGTATTCAATCAGACTCGATGATGGTTAGTTATTTTTGTTTATTTGTTTATTTGTTATGGTTGCATCAACAGACTAGAAATAGTCCCAATGATGTGTTGTAAAAAAAAGTACAGATTATACAGACGACATACATATACTACAGTTACTACAGTTACAAACGAAAATAACTTGGAAAGCATTGTCAAGTTACTAAAAATTTATAAGTCTTAAATTTTACGCTTAGCTGTTGGGTATCAAGCGCCTTCGGTCAGCAAAAAAGGCAGAGAATCTTCGGCGAAGCATATTCCGTGTCAAGTGGAAATCGAACATCGACGCTACTCGGTTGAACACTAGCTGCAAGCCGTAAATAGCGCTCCCTATGCTATAATTAGTTCGAAGAAGTGGAAGTCTCAGCATAAGACTGTTGCGTAGTGATCGAGGTTGAACATTAATGTTCACTTGTTGCAGAATTGCTTCGCAGTCGATTCTTCCTTGCAGAGTGTCGGCGACGGTTAAGGCTCTGAAAACATCTCTTCGGATACGTAAGGGCTCGATATTGATCAATTGGCAGCGATTCTCGTAGCTTGGAAGACGAAGTGGGTATCTCCAAGGCAGCTTACGGAGCGCGAAGCGAAGAAAACGTCGTTGAACAGATTTAATTCGCTCGGCCCCATTATTGTAGTTCGGGCTCCAGACAGCAGAGCAGTATTCCAACGTAGATCGTACGAGAGAGCAATAGAGCGATTTCAAGCAGTAAATGTCCGTGAAGTTCTTAGTAACCTTGAAGACAAAGCCAAGCGTTCTGGACGCTTTGTCGACGACATACGATATATGGTGTGAGTATGTCAGCTTTGAGTCTAGAAAAACGCCTAAGTCTTTCACGCAGTGCACCCGTTCGATAGTCGTGCCTAGTAGTTTGTAGTTGTAAATAATGGGTTGTTTCTTGCGTGAGAAAGTAATAACTGTACACTTAGCTGGGTTGACCACCAGTCGGTTTAGACTACACCAGTCAGCAAAGATGTCAATCTGATTTTGGAGAGAACGGCAGTCGGCGAGTGAGCGGATGCGCAGAAAAACTTTCAGATCGTCTGCAAACGATAATCGTGGCTCTGTGATAACATGGTGAACGTCGTCGAAGTAGAGGAGAAATACCAATGGTCCCAGATGGCTGCCTTGAGGTATACCGGACTTTGCGCAGAAGCTTGCTGAGCGACAAGTACCCAAAGTTACTGTCAATTGGCGCTCCGTGAGGTATGAACGAAACCATCTCAAAAGATTTCCACCGATCCCTAGCCTATCAAGCTTAGCGATCGCAATTTCGTGGTTCAGCTTATCGAAGGCTGCCGTAAGATCTGTGTAGATAACGTCCGTTTGGGTCCGAGCAATCAAACTGTCTGTGATGTAAGACGTTAGGCACAGCAGGTTCGTAGTTGTGGAACGCCCAGTTATGAATCCGTGTTGATATGTATTTAGATATTGCCTGCAATGCGCATTTAGGGACTCTATGACAACCAATTCAAAAAGTTTTGATACAGCACTCAGCGACGTGATTCCCCGGTAGTTGTTTACGTCGCGTTTGCTTCCCTTTTTATGAACAGGAAACATATCCGCAGTCTTCCAGCAAGACGGAAAGATGCCGCTGGAAAGAGAGAGCTGGAATATGCGGCGCAGTGGATCTAAAAGACAAGTGATGTTCTTTTTAAGAATAATCGACGGAACACCATCGGGTCCAGCCTTAGCTGAAGTCTTAAGTTTAGATGCTGCTCTAGAAATCGTATCTGTAGTGGCTTCGACCATGCTGAGCGTTTGGTTGATCAAATGAACATTACTGGCCGCGGAAGTAATGATATTGCCTGATGTATCTGTGATTTCCAGTAAATCTACTGGCGGAGGAGTCCTTGTAGCTGTCCGTAGCTGGTTGGAGGCAATGTCCATCGAGAAAGATTCATGGAACAATGTTGAGCAGGTACTCCCGAATCCTTCGAGGCTAAACGATGCGTCTTCGTTATCCCCGAATGGTCCATCTGCTCATCCGGAACACACCGTAGATGTTTCCACGATTTCCAAGAATAATGCTGCTACCTCTACTGCTTCTGGACCACCACCATCACCACCGAGACGAATCGTGGATAGCACTGTGGAAGCCCCTGATTTCTCTGCCTCAGTCGCGCTTATTCCAGCCAGCGCTATGCATAGTCGTCTCGGCCCTGAGTGTAGATGTAGGTCGGGGGTCTTCCAACCAGCTATTACTGGCAAGTATATTGACGATTCAGCCTCTCTTTTGCCTGATACCGCTTCAACTTCTAGCTGTGTTTCCGGTTTTGCGACCTCCACACTAGCTACATCATGTCCATGCATCCGTCCTGCCAACTGCCACCTGGCTCTTCCTCGGATCCGGGACACTCTAAAACAGGCACTGAGGAAGCTTCCAAACCTCCCGACCCAGTCGCGCTTGCTGCAGACATCCGCCATCGTCATCGTCCCGGTTCTGTGGTCGGTTATGGTATCGGGGGCTTCCGGCCTGCAACCTCAGGCGAGTATGTTAGCGATTCCGAGCTTTCGGTACCTGATGTCCTTTCGATTTCTAGTTCCCGTGATTGCTCCTCGAATGGTCCCCGGATCTACTACCAAAACGTGCGTGGGCTGAGGACCAAAATCGACTTGTTTTTCCTGGCTGTTGCGGAGGCCGAATATGATTTGATTGTGCTGACAGAAACGTGGCTGGACTACCGAATTTACTCATCGCAACTTTTCGGGTCACTCTATTGCGTCTTCAGAACTGACCGGTCTGCTCTAAACAGTCAAAAATCGCGCGGTGGCGGAGTCCTGATTGCAGTATCTACGAGACTAGCCAGCTACGTAAGTACGTCACCCATTTCCAGTCAACTGGAACAGCTGTGGATTTTCGTAGAACTTCCACAAAGCAAGCTTAGTGTGTGTGCAATCTACCTGTCTCTCGACCGCAAAAACGACTGCACGAACATCCGTGAGCATGTGGAATCGTTAGGCTCAATTTCGTCACAATTAAGTCCCTGCTCTGCAGTGGCGCTTTACAGACAGTGGCTCACCATTAATTGATCCACTACTTTCGCATATGCCGGTTGCTTGCTGTGCTCTTTTGGACGGTTTTAACTTTTACGGGTTCACACAAGTGAATACTTTTCCCAGCCGAAATGGACGTTTGCTAGATCTTCTCTTGGCAAATGATTCCGCACTACCGGGCACTTCTGTTGCCTTGCCGGTCGAGTCACTGATTGATCTAGATGCCGATCATCCCGCTCTCGTCGTGTCATTTAGTTTACCTACGCCGTCATCTGAGTGCTACTCTTTGGACTTTCGCCGGGCCGATTATGTTGCATTGAACAATGCGCTTGCGGAAATTGATTGGCAATTTATCGAAACAGCCGCTAGCGTGAATGATGCTGTGGATTTTTTCAGTGCTGCATTGGAAGATGCTATTTTCCGCATTGTCCCAGCTCGACGACCTCCGCTGAAACCTGCATGGTCCAACCCACGCCTACGCGTACTAAAACCACAGCCAAACAGAAGTAACACTTTGAAAAAGTTTTTCTTGAAATCATAGTATCTCAAAACATAGGACCTCAGTAACGACATCTCTCTGGCTTCTCGCGGAAAACAAGATTGCTCGCTAACTCGCAAACAATATTGCATAAAAGTTCTATAGAATGTATAGAAACGTCAAAGTGATCCGATGCCAGCGCTGCGGCGAGTAGTTCATGGAACTGATAATATTCAAATCAACCGTTAAATGCGTGAACGAAGATACACAATGAAGTGTTACGTCTGTTTGTCTGTGCTAAAACGTCAACGCTTTGCCGCCCTCCGAAAGTATTGTAACTCTCTCTCGCCGTACTACAAACGACTGTTCAATTTTGCGAGTCGTAGTTATCGAAATTACAATCGTTTTCTCTATAATCGACACGTGAGACGCACGGAAGCGAAAGTTTTTGGTCGTTTGTCAACTCCAAACGGAAGGAATCCAGGTTGCCTTGTTCCATGTTTCTCGGGAATGACTCGGCTAATAGCGAAAGATAAAAATGCGACTTGTTTGCTCGTCATTTCAAGCAAGTGTTCCACGATTTCTCCGCTTCGCCAACACAAGTGCTGTACGCTACTGTTGTGATGCCACGTGATGTGTTTAGTTTCGTTATCCCGCGCATTTCAGAAGACATGGTGATAGCCGCAACACGCAAACTGAAGCTCTCGTTCGCCGCCGGACCTGACGGCATTCCGTCATCAGTTCTAAAACGTTGTGTAGCCAATCTCTGCCTTCCACTTGCGAGGCTATTCAATCTCTCGGCACAGCAATGTGAGTTTCCCTGCAGCTGGAATCTTTCTTATCTGTTCCCAGTGTACAAAAAAGGAGATAAACGGAATGTTATAAATTATCGTGGAATCACCTCCCTGTGTGCCTTCTCAAAACTGAGATCATAAATGGTACTCTGTTCGCGTGTTGCAAAAATTATATCGATACAGAACAACACGGCTTTTACCCGAAGCGCTCCGTGTCCACAAACCTGGTGCAGTTTACTTCTAACTGTTTGCGATGCATGGAGTCAGGATGGCAAGTCGATGCTGCGTATATGGATCTAAAAGCTGCATTTGACACGGTGGACCATAATATCTTGCTGGCCAAGCTGGAGATACTTGGCATCTCGTTAACTGCTGTGGATATTCTCAGATCTTACTTGGTGAATCGCTATGTACATTGGCGCGTCGGAATCGGATGTTTTCTCAAACAACTCGGGAGTTCCGCAAGGCAGTAACCTAGGACCGCTACTATTTTCGATTTTTTTAAACGACGTCGCCTTGCTGATACCACAGACGATACGAAAATCTACAAAATAATTAAAAGCCTCTTGGACAGCTGGGATCTCCAGAATATGTTAGGTATTTTTGCTGACTGGTGCTCAAGAAATTTGATGAGTCTAACCATAGAAAAATGTAACATTATTTCCTTTCACCGAAAAATCGAACCAATCATGTTTGACTATGTTCTCTACGGACGCTGTCTTGCTCGTGTAGAGCACATAAAGGATCTCGGCGTTACCTTGGACTGCAGACTCACTTTCGGAATCCACTACAATGACATCATCTCCAGAACTAATCGACAATTGGGCTTTATTTTCAAAATTGCTGACGAGTTTCGTGACCCGCTATGCCTCAGGTCACACTATTGCTCGCTTGTGCGATCCTTATTGGAGTCAAGTTCAGTTGTTTGGTGTCCTTTTCATGCTAGCTGGATCACTAGAATTGAATCCGTTCAACGCAAGTTTGTGAAATATGCTCTTCGTTTGCTCAACTGGCGTGACCCAACGAACTTGCCACCCTACGAGGAGCGTTGCCGTCTCCTGGGAATCGAGCCATTAGAGGTGAGACGGACGGTCGCTCAAGCTATGTTCACTGGAAAGCTGCTTACGGGTGACATTGACTGTCCAACACTGCTGTCACAGCTAAATATGTATGCCCCTGAGAGGTCTCTTCGTCAACTCGACTTTCTGTCTTTGGAACCACGGAGCCGGAATTATACACAACACGAGCCAATTCGAGCAATCAGCCGGCAATTCAACAACTTTTTTATATGTTCGACTTCAATGTATCAGCTGACGTGTTTCGTCATCGGCTACTTGGCCTTTTCCGTACCGTTGACCGTAACTATTTATACCCCGTTCACATTACAGCCTATATCACGTAATATAGGCTGTCTTGCAATGAGCACTCATACATAGGATTTCCAGTGAAAACAAGATGTATAAGTGCTCATTGCAAGACAGCGTATATAACGTGATATACGCTGTAATGTGAACGGGGTATTAGACAATAATTTTTAGTTGAATTTTTCAATAAACAATAAACAAAATGAATATCGTAAATTTGTAATTTCTTCACATTTGCTAGACCAAAAAATCGACTACAAGATGAAACAGATCAACCTCACCCAGAGATCATGACAAACAACGCAAACCATCTAACGGAGTTTACACCTATAATCCCAATCCAAACAGTAGAAGATCTTCACAACAACATTGTACTGGTTGATAGAAATTTCATTCAGACAAAAAGAGAATTTGAACTTCTGCAATGCGGCAAAATGGAAGTTCTTGTCACTCCCATGGAAAACAAATCAGGCATGTTCGAAGCGAAGGTTCAAGTAGGAGCGTTTGTTCTAGCCGAAACAGAAGCAATGGGACGAAGACGTGCCGAAGTTGCTGCGCAACGTCGCTTCATGAAGGAGATGGGCAACTGGTGTTATAGAATCATTGTATGTTTAATAATGATAAATAGTGGTTAGGTGGGGCACGATGGGTCATCTACTTGATTTATTTATTTGGCTCAATATAGTCACAATGCTCTGGGCACAGACAAACAGACATAACACATTGAATATTTCGCACTGTAAAAAATCGTCGCTAAAACATTACCGCCATCTGTTGAATACACTGTGGTGGGTAGTACGCTGAACAGATGGCGGTAGTGTGTAAACGTCAAACGCAAGGGAATTGACTATGCGCGCCACAAGTGGTGGTGCTACCAACTACGATACTTTTAAATGGACCGTTAAATGGTTGTTCGATGAACAACTTGCGAGTGTTATGTCTGTTTGTCTGTGCTCTGGGGTTGCATTTAACCTGATGATTTTGACAATCAATTGCCCCACCTTACCCTATGACTGATAAACTATTTAAAAATCTAATGTACACTTTTTTAGCGGCAGAAAAAATCTGCCCTAATTGTTAAAACCAGTGTTCATCGATCCGAAGTGAATGACTACAAGGACAAAACAATCAATGACAGCAATCTGGGCTTTAAAATGCTGCAAAAGCAAGGCTGGAGCGGTGGTGCATTAGGACTCAAAGGGGACGGTATCCTTGAACCCATAGCGTACCAAAAAGGATTCCAAGGTTTCGATCAGGATCGTGCAAAGCAGTTCGTTGCGCGTAAACAGAATGCGAAATTTGACGTAGAACATTACATGCAAATCATTCAGGACTTCCGGGACAATGGAGACGAGTACGATTTGATTTTCAGTGCGGAATTCAGCAAAGAAGAACGAGCCCAGTTCCATGAGTACATGCACGTGAGACTGTGGGAAATAGATCCATAAAATTCACTGTTTTGTAATTTTAGGATTGCCGATGACCTTGGTTTGATGTCACGAAGCTTTGGAAGCGACAAGCAAGGAAGACATCTACTTTTTTATGGTAAAAAACTCTCGATGCATGAAATACTGCAGCGAGTATTCATCCAGAAGGATTCCTTTATAAGCGAAATGTACAAAGTGCAGTTACCCAACAGGAAATTCGAATGATTCATAAAAGATGCTGTAAAATCAATCCTAATTTTTATTGCTACCCTTTGTCTAGGTCCTGGTGATCGTTTGGAGCTCGAAAGCTTTGTTTTGATGTGTGTTTCTTACTGCGCCTGGAATTATCCTTCGACTTCCTTTTCTTTGGCGATAATGTCTCACGTCGAACTTTCCTCATCAGCTTTTTGATCAGCCTATCTTTTTCCTTCAATTCTGTACAATTGACTCCTGGGCCTTCTTGTGATTCTTTCTTTACACTAGGTGCAGTAAAGCTAGAATCACTAACTAATGTTGTTTCCATTATAGATATCTCCTCAAAAGGCTGCTTCGTATCTTCTAGATCTATAGGCACATTTTGTTCCGGTTGTTCATCCTCTAGATAGTTTTGCTGTTCATGCGTATCTGGTTTTTGTTCCGCCAGTTCACAATTTTCTTTCGAACATGGCAGAGCTTCTAGAGGATTAGTTTCCTCACTTGGATCTTCCATCAAACGTTCAATAGGTATCACTACGATTGGAGTTGGTTCAACGAAACTGTGTTTTTCTCGAAATGCTCTTAGCAGTAAATCATTCGCTTGCCACATTTTTCGATATCCGAAGAATTCTTCCATCCTTTGCTGGCAATCATGACATATGAAACTGTTGTAATCAGCTGCAAATTCCAATCGGATGCACGTCACCTCCTCTACTACCCTTATCAAATGATTCTCGTCAAATCCTGGCAATGGAAACAGGGGTCGCATATTGACGTTCTTTCTAAAACAAAAGCGACAAAAAGGACCTTCGAGATCAGGGTCTAGAGAGGGATGACAAGCTTCACTTTCCGGAGGTTCGACTTCGGGAGTAAAAGTGTTTTCCGTAGGAACGTCGTTAAGTGTCAACTCGAGAGTTCTGTTGAATGAATCATTCAAGACATCATTTATCCTCGTTTTGCTGTGCAGGTTTTGGTTTGGTACCCAATCAATTTCCCAATGGTGGGAAGGGGCAGCTGGTCGACCTAGGTAAACAAAAAACATCGTACATTTATTACAATTAGGTATAAGTTTTCTTGCCATTTACTAACCGGTAACGAAATGTACATGGCAAACCCATAAGGATTCAGCACGACGAGGATTCTGACCGAGTACGTTGATCCACAACCAGAATCGTTTTTTGACCAGATCCTTGCGTGATTCTGTCATCCGGGATTTAGGCCATTGAACAAAGCGGAACAGTAATTTGTTGACCTTATTTTCATCGTACACCTTCGTTTTGCAACCGGAAACACAGCAGCGTTTAGGAAAACATTTTTTCATTCGTGTCGTTGGAAATAAATCCATTTTTAATTTCTTCGTATACAAAAATATCCAAATTGATATATTTTGATTCCTTGACCATAACCATCACTGCACTGGTTCAAATGCGAACACGCTATTTCAAAACTACCCAAATTTGGGTAAAATCCACCCAGACCGGTCAAAACTGAAACTACCCAAATATGGGTAAAATATGTTTTTAATGACAAGTTGACAACCCGCATAAGCACGAACCATAAATTTACCTCACCTAAAATGGTTAAAAAATTTTATAATCCCTGCTAAACTTCAACTGAAATGGTTATGGAACTTTACATGAACGTTTAATGATAAAATTTTAACCTTCAGTATTATAATTTTTTGGAAGTGGACCTTACAAATAATGGGTTGTTAAGAACCATTACCATTCAAAATTCTTGTTTTCTCCATACATTTTCGGAAAGAAAACTATACTAAAACCTTTTAACTTATGGTTTGAGAACATTAATGGTAATGGTTATGTTAACCAGTAAGGTCCATGAATGGTTTTGTAACATCGATCAACTTTATGTGGAATATATCGCGAATTGGTTGCCTGTAAATTACTGATTACCAATTCACGATATATTTCACGTAAAGTTGAGCGATAATACAAAACCATTAATGGACCTTACTGACTACCATAACCATAACCATTAATGTTCTCAAACCATAAGTAAAAACGTTCTAATATAGTTCTCTTTCTGAAAATGTATGGAGAAAACAAGAATTTGCAATGGTAATGGTTCTTAACAACCCATTATTTGTAAGGTCCGCTTCCAAAAAACCATAATACATAAGGTTAAAACTTTATCACACAAACGTTCATGTAAAGTTCCATAACCATTTCAGTTGAAGTTTAGCAAGGATTATAAACAATTTATAACCATTATCGGTAAGGTCATGTGATGGTTCGCGTTTATGCGGGAAATGGACAACATCGACATGAGTCCGATCGACTTTGTTCATTTGTCAACTTGTCACTCCCATTTTTGGGTAGGTTCAGTTTTGACTGATCTGTGTGTATTCTACCCAAATTTGGGCAGTTTTGAAATAGCGTGTAACTTACAGTTTGAGTGCTCAATTGGCGCTGACGGCACCGTCGAAAAATTTTCTCTTCCAGCAAATATAGACAGTTTCTTATGAGAATTTTCGGTGGAGTGAAAGGATAGTACAAAGTCCGCCATGTTTTACGCACAGTTTGACGTTTGCTTATAAATTTTCTCATAGGAGTAAAGAGCTACAGAGTCGCCGTTAATGCCAATAGATCTCAAAGTTGCGAAGCCACTCAGCGGCTCTCAGTAAATATCTCGGTAAATATGGCTTCACAGTAGACCCCGCTCCGCTAGATTTTCGGTCAACATTTTAAATAATGCGTTCCAAATTTTCAACATTAACAGTTATCAGTTATAACAGTTATCATATAAAAGCATCATGATTCAAGTTAGTATTGGGGAAACCAAACTTCTGACAGTTCTCGCGTCACTTTTCAAATAGACCAATGTAACATATCCACCATTTTAAGAAAATCGAAGTTGAAGTTCAACAGATTATTATTTTAACTGTTCAAAAACAATACATTTTGCAATACTATTTTTAATGTAGTCAGTGTATAATAACGTTGAAAATTCAGAAGAAACGGGTAAATCACAATTTTACTTTGAATTTCATGCTACAACATAGAAAAAACCACATAGGACGTTTTTACAAGTCGAGTTGTACATCGGACATGTTACATTGGACGATTTTTCTCAATGACATAATCAATGAGTGTTACATTGGACGTTTTGTCTACATGATACTAGATTCCCTTTCACAGATTTCAGAGTATAGTACCTAACTTTAGATTGGCCCCGCCTTTGGAAAATGAGCACCAATCATGTTAGACAGTCCGAATGACCGAAGTAACAATCAAGTAACCATCATTTCAAACTGTACATTGGACAATTTTTGATCAATGATTATCTTAAATAAATGAAAGTAAATTTGAATGGGTGTTTTTGTATCACATACAATTATAGAAGAGCAATAGCTTGTATCGCTTAACTCGATTTGTTTACATTTGTTACATTGGTCTATTTGAAAAGTGACGCGAGAGTTCCGAGTTTCTTTTCGATGCCTTATAAGGCCCAAACTCAATGTGGACGGAAGCGGAACGGAAACGGAAAGTTTGACAGTTGTCACAAATGACATCAAGATGCCTACCCGCATAAACGCGAACCATAAATTGACCTTACCTAAAATGGTTTAAAATTGTTTATAATCCCTGCTAAACTTTAACTGAAATGGTTATGGAACTTTACATGAACGTTTAATGATAAAGTTTCAACCTTATGTATTATGGTTTTTTGGAAGCGGACCTTATACCCCGTTCACATTACAGCATATATCACGTGATATACGCTGTCTTGCAATGAGCACTCATACATCTAGTTTTCTCTGGAAATCCTAAGTATGAGTGCTCATTGCAAGACAGCCTATATTACGTGATATAGGCTGTAATGTGAACGGGGTATTACAAATAATGGGTTGTTAAGAACCATTACCATTCCAAATTCTTGTTTTCTCCATACATTTTCGGAAAGAGAACTATATTAGAACCTTTTAACTTATGGTTTGAGAACTTTAATGGTAATGGTTATGGTAGTCAGTAAGGTCCACGAATGGTTTTGTAACATCGATCAACTTTATGTGGAATACATCGCGAATTGGTTGCCTGTAATTTACTGATTACCAATTCACGATATATTCCACGTAAAGTTGAGCGATAATACAAAACCATTAATGGACCTTACTGACTACCATAACCATTACCATTAATGTTCTCAAATCATAAGTAAAAACATTCTTATATAGTTCTCTTTCTGAAAATGTATGGAGAAAACAAGAATTTGGAATGGTAATGGTTCTTAACAACCCATTATTTGTAAGGTCCAGTTCCAAAAAACCATAATACATAAGGTTGAAACTTTATCATTGAACGTTCATGTAAAGTTCCATAACCATTTAAGTTAAAGTTTAGCATTGATTATAAATAATTTTTAACCATTTTAGGTAAGGTCAATTTATGGTTCGCGTTTATGCGGGTAATCGGAGTCGATTTGGTTTAAACAAGACGTTTTCAATCTGACAAGTTGGCTTACTCAGATCGGGCTTTTCCGCTGCCGTTGCCGTTCCGCATCCGTCCACATTGCGTTTGGGCCTTTAAAGTCTTGTCCTGTCTTAGCTCTTTTGCTGTCAGATGAAATAGATGACAAAAGGGTGCTAAATCAAAACACAAACATTAGCAACCATCACAGTACGGGAAATTTAGTTTTTTTTCGTCGTCAGAATTCGATAGTGTTCCGAAAAACTTGAACGATTCCCAATATCGGCTATTTCAGTAGAGTTCACACATCTGCTTAAAGTGGACAATAGTTCGCCGCGATACGTGTTGTGCATTACCTTAGGGTGTTATATCTTAGTGCATCTTCCGGTTCAAGAAAGACTCTTTTTAGGATGGCCGCAAGTGCAAAGCCAGAAAACTGGCGAGATATTATAGCAGAACGTCTTCGTGAACGAAACAGAAACGAAACTTCCCGATACGCGGATATTATTGTCTACAGTAAGTATTGCATTGATTACTTCTTGTTGATTTGGTATGTTTTTTTTTTTTCTTTTGTAGGATATTTATGCGTATGACATACATGGCCATGGGTTAATTGAATTAAAGATGAATGGGAAGCTAATGCGAATGACAAATATCTGATACTATGTAAACAGGTTAAAGATGCTCGCGGTTTGCAGATGAGGTTCAAATTGCATCATAGTTGTTAGGTCATTCAGTATTGTTTTTATGCAATGAAGACAAGTGAAAGTGGTTCATCCCCTTTCTCGCTCTTGCAGTAGCCGCCACATACCAGTAAATATTGTCATCCATATGGTTCGTTTTTGGTTGCGTTGAGTATCAAGGTTATTGCAGACAGTTTGTTTAAGAAATGGTCATTGAAGCATTAGTCTGTATGAATGTATGATAGGTATTTCTCGGGAAGACTTTTCCCTAACTTATAGTACCTTTTAGCCATACATTTACATATACATTTGAAGCTTTACACTGTTGTCATACATATAGGGTTAACTACACCATTTCCGGCCTATTAAGCACAACCTGCACTTAGTCTTTCTTAATGTAGCGCAGTTTAGCACCAAACGGAATGTTATTATTACTGATGGCTTCCAAATTTATTTACCTTACCTAAGAATTAATAAAGAGAAACCAATCGTTGAGATATTGTCAAACTTCTAACACTGCTTCTTGACGCTAAACTCGGCCTACGGATTCTAAACTCGGCCTAACGCATTGAAACGCCAATGAAATCACTTCGGCCTATCGGATGAAGATACAAATTGATTTGGCCGCAGCGCTTTTTTTTTGTTTTTGGGAATAATGGATGCAAACCTTCATATCACGCGTTCTCATTGACTTCGTTCCGTAGCTTATTAACTTAAGTATTGTACCAAATGCATAATTGCCTGGTTAACTCGGAAATCATGGATTTATTTGAAGTTTTCTGCTCGATAGGCCCAAAATGGGTGATTAGGCCGAAGTAGTTCTCTACCCTACCATGATTGAAACCTTTTATATTTATTTATTTATTATTCCCTTCATCGGACTTTTGTTGTCTAAACGAAGATTGATGGGAAAAGCCTATTTGGCAAATATTTGCGCAAACAGGCGTAAAAACTCCATATCTTTTCGAAATACAAGGAACAACATCAAAAAGGATACAAAACAACAATAATTGTTAATTATTATAAAACAAACACTGAATAATAATAATAATAATAATAATAATAATAATAATAATAATAATAATAATAATAATAATAATAATAATAATAATAATGGGACATGGTATTATCACAAACGAAGTTACAGACGACTAACTGGCGAAGAAATCCATTAAAATAATGTGGTTCACTGTAATAGAATTTTCTTGGAAGCTTGTGCCATCATCCACCAGATGGGTTAGTTTTTTTGTTTTGATTTGAACAAAGTTGATTTTGTGTACAATGATTCTTTGACAGTGTGCAAAGAGTGCGTATCATTTTGTCATTTTTTTATGCATTTCAGTTTTGAGTAGAGTGAATGAGATAGAACCAAAACATTCTAGTACATTTGGTGAAAATGCTAGTTCAATCTAATAGTAGTGTTGCCATGTGGTACAATCCAGTAGTAGTGGTGTTGCCATGTGGTACACTGAAAAATTGCAATAGCAGGTTAGTCACCAAAGTTTTCGAGCCGCTCCGTCTGTCACTTCGTTTGTGGTATTATGGTCCTCAGCATAAAAATAAATCTCGTCCTATGGCATGGAGTTGTCCTTTGATCAGTCATGTCAAGGCCGTCATCGCAGAGTTGATCGGGAACAAAAAAAAATTAAACAGGTAGCAACATTCATCTGAAGTACATTAAATGGACAGCTACTCACCGTCTACGTTGAATCCGGTGACGAAAGGTTTCCGCTGTGCAGTTGAAGTCGAAAAAAAGATTGGAATTCATAAAAACGTTCAGACATGAACCGTATTGGATCATGTAATCCGTAATTAGCAGGAAACTTCTCGATTGTAGAACTCGTTCAGGTGCATGGATTTCGAATTCAGCAAAAATCCCGGGAAAACTGCCTGTTTAATCTTCCGCCTACGTTCAAGAGTTTCAATACCCACGAGTTGGCAAAGATCTTCGTAGGGTGGAAGGTTCGTTGGACCATTCCAAGGAAGGTGGCGAAGAGCGTAACGAACGAATTTCCTCTGAACAGACTTGATCTTCGCTATCTAAACTGTTGCATACGGATAGAGCTGGAATTAAGGCGTTACAGCTTTTGTAAACAAAGACTTTTTTCGATGATTTCTTGAAACTCGCAAATCAACATCACCATCGGGTAGGGGAAGACTTCCCCTACCCGACGTTATGTTGGTTAGCGTGGGTGTGCCTTGAATTCCTGGAAATCATCGAGTAATTGTTTACAAAAGTTGTTGCGCCCTAATTCCAGCGCTATCTAGAATTGTATTATATGTTAGACCTAGGTATGTAATAACTTCGGATTTAACTTCTGAAAAACACGTCGCAATCCTTTCCCCTTTAGATCAAGCTTTAGAGTCTATTTTACTTTTCATAATCTTTGATTCCAAAAATAATAATTCCCAGATTTAATTTAAATTCCAACCCTGACAACATTAAACTAATATATTTATCAATATGCAGAAATTATTTGTTATTTTTTTTCTTCTTTTCAATGATTTTCGAACGAATCCCAGGACTCAATATTTTTGCTGGGAATGCTGTTGATCAATGGTAAACTAGTTACGATGAGCGTTGCAGCTGTATATGGATTGGAGTTGTTAAATTTTGCGTCGCAAGAGAATCCAGATGTTTCAATCACCTTTTCGCTCAATTTGAACGGCACGTCATATGCTTTCCGAAATATCGGCCTTTATTCTCGAAGTACCAAATCCACTTCAAATCCTAGTTAAGGGTGTACCTATTCGGTAAAAATGGCTCACCGAAAATCTTCCGTAACTTTTGAACCGTATGAGTATAAAACCTGAAAATATGAGTAAATCTTATTCATATTGTATTGTTAGGGGGCGACCCCGGCGTAGTGGATAGCATTCATACCTCTCACGCCAAAGTCACGAGTTCAAATCTCACTCCCGGACAAGTCACGAATGACCCAAGAGCGTTAAAGTGACTATAATTACGCTTATATTGTTTTCATGTGTCAAGTTTCATAGTTATGCATACAGTAATTCCAACAATCAATACGAAACTAACGATTTTAAATTGGCTCACCACTTTAGTAGCCTATTGGTCCCAAGCAAACGATTAACGTACCCTATTCTAGTACTACGCAATGTTTGTTTTGATTCGCTATGAAAGTTTGACGGATAAAATGAGGGGTTATTGGTTTTTCCTATGTTTCGAGGGGTGAATCGATTAGCTTGGGACCGAAGAGAGTGCCAGAGCTGAGCCAAAAAGTTGAGCACGTTATTTCGGGACCTTCTAGTCTTAGAGTTACCTCTATGGTAATTCCAGCCATGTCGTCGAAACTCACTTACAATCAAAATCCAGAGTCGTCCCACCGATGGATCACTAAAAAGCTTGGAATTGCAAATACAACTGTGTCTCGTGTGATAAGAATCTTCAAGGAGCGTCTGAGCGCCCGAACGAAGGAAGGGAGTGGTAATAAAAGTGATCAAATGAACAGTAAAATGCAACAGTTCAAGAACCGTCCAAACATGTCAATTCGAGATGTCGCTGAAAAGTCCAAGGTGTTAGTCGGTTTTGTGCAGAAAACCATTAAGCGTGCTGGGTTACATGTTTACAAAGTGCAAAAAGCCGCAAACCGGAATGAAAAGCAAAACATCACTGCGAAAACCCGCGCCCGGAAACTTTACACGCTCACCAAATCGTGTTGCATCGTGATGGATGACATAACGTCAAGGCTGACTACCGTCAACTTCCTGGGCAAGAATATTTCGTTGTCAAGTCCAAGTTCGTTGTTCCGGAGGATGTTCGAAAGAAGAAATTATCGAAATTTGCAAAGGAGTTCCTGATCTTACAGGCGATCTGCGGATGTAGTAAAATAAACGCTCCCTTCATCACTTCCGGATCAATCAACGGTGCGATTTTCATGAAAGAGTGCCTTAAGAAGCGTCTCTTGCCATTTACAAGGAAGCACAAAGGATCAACTCTGTTTTGACCTTGTCTAGTATCCTGCCACTACGCTCGAAACGTGTTGTACCGAGCCAACGGAGTCAATTTTGTGCCAAAATATATGAACGCACCAAATTCACCGGACGTTCGCCCAATTGAAAAATTCTGTGCAATTATGAAGACGGAACTTCGCAAGCATCTCAAAACTATTAAAACAGAGCTGGAGTTGAAGAAAATTTGGTTAAAAACAACAAAAACACTGGGAAAATCCATTGTACAAAATTTGATGGGTGGAGTGAAAAGGAAGGTACGAAATTTAATAAAACAAATTTGGTAAATCATAACTCACTAGTAGTTTTTTATTCGTTGAAAATTTCAAGAAACTTCAATAATCGCTTTAATTTTAGTGAGTAAATATGTGCGTGCCATTTTTATCGAATACACCCTTTATTGGATATCTTAAGTCGCTGTCAAAAACTTTTGGAAATCATGATTTAATTTCAGATGCAATATAATTAGTGACAATCGTTTGCTCCGCTTCATTCTACATTGCATTAATATTTATTATTTTCAAGCCAATTTTTGCCTAGCAAAGGAACCAAAATGTGTCGTACAATCTAATACAATCAATTGAACTCGTTCGCGAACATTGTTCACAAACACATTATCCATTATTTCTCCAAATATATTTAGTTGCTGTCCTTCAACCACTACTAGACGACTGTTACATCTTATTACTTCAAAACGCTTGAATTATTTTTTTTAGGTTTCGAAACTGATCACTGTAACCACTGCACAGCAATCTATATCCATATTTAAACAAATTCCTTCAACTAGCACCGTTACAAGACAAGATTTACTGAAACGACTGCTCGCAATCATCAGGCACGGATAATCTTCATCTTCGTTAT